CCATCCATCCATTCCCTGTTTACACCAGCCTTAACATTTCCATTACAGTCCTCTGCACTGGAATCCACCTGCAAAAGCTGTGCTGGTTACTTGTGTGAAGAGCCAGCCATTGCTCTCCATGCCAGAAGAGAACACACATGTATAATCCTTTCCTGTTTATACTTTAAAAGAAGTTATAGAAATTGGTAGTAAATTTATGGCAATTTACAGTAATTCATGTCACCTAGAGCTCTTCTCCCTGACACTTGGGGCCTTCTCTTTTGCAGCCAATTGAATTTCAAGGCAGTTGTTAAGGTCCACTTCCAGCCTAGAGGTTTTTCAGGATTCCTCTTGGCAGGTGTCAGCAATTAGATGAAGATACTCTTTCTGCTCACCACAGCTCTATTCTTTTTCTCATTGCTACTCAAGAACAATATTAAGCAGTCTCAGAGTATTTGCATCTGTGTCTGCATGGCTCAGGAAACGAAAGAGGAGAAATTCCTCTTCTTCCAAGCAGTTGCATAAGCAGTTTCAGAGCAATGGGTGAGCATAATATTCCCTGTGAATACATCGTGTTTCTTCCATTGGATTGCTTTTAATTCCTACAAAGCCTTACTTTCCTGTTTCTGATGCATTCTGATCCATTGCAGTCACCTTGTGGTTTGTGTCTATTTAACAGATAAGCTCACCTGTCAGAGAAGGAGCTGATTGAAATAAAATTGCTTACGTGGCTGGATTTCTTCTTCTTTGGGGGTGGGGGAGGAGTAAGGGAGAAAAAAGATGGTTCTTGATTTTGATATCAGCAGATACAAGTAAGGAGCTATGTACCAGCTGCACATGTGGAATAGTGTTATCGAGGTCCCACACTTCATTACATGTATGACAAGAACTTCTATGCAGTGTAATGCAAACTTGAGAAAATTGCATAATCTTGTTCACAGCTTTAACAGTTTTTCTTTTTTAGGTATATTTTGGATAACCCACGTGTTGTTAAAGGGAGATCTGTTCTGGATCTTGGAAGTGGCTGTGGAGCAACAGCAATAGCAGCTGTGATGAGTGGTGCATCCCAAGTCCTCGCTAATGACATCGACCCGAGTAAGGTCTTTTCTCATCTCTTTGTAAGGATACTTAGTAATATTTAAAGCACCTTTAACACAGACCTTGCTTTGCTCCATTTGCGAGAAATTCAAGTTCCAAACAGAGTTCTAAAAATGCTGAAAAGAGGAATGGATTTTGCAGTATTAGAAGTTGGGTTGTACCAGCCTCTCCTGGACCAGTTGTTATCTGCACAGCTCCTTAACATGAACAAACAGCAAAGTTTCTGCCAAGTGTTACCTACACACCATCACAACTGGTCTGGAAGAGAACTCCAAGCCCTTCTCTCTAGGACCATGGCATTTTCCTATACTTTCATATTAGGGTCTAGATTTTGCCTTTTCCTCTAGATTTTGTTTTTCCATAATTGACTTATGAATTCAGTTTACTCCTAATTTAATTACTCATTGGTTAGGGAGGAAGTATATTCATAGATTAAGGCAGTTAGATATTCAGTTCTATGATTAGTTTCCATTGGTATCCATTCCAGGAATAGTTCTTCCCTGTGTCATGGTGTAATGAGGACAAAATTTCATCACTTTATGCCAGATTTTGGCCCATAATGAAAACCGTGAAACAGATTTGTTAACAAAAATATTTAAGAGATGAAATTGAAAGATGAGTCGAGTAAATTTGTAAGGGGCTGAATGGCAGAATCCTAAAATATAACTTTCATTTTTCTTTGACTTTCTTTCAGTCGCAGGAATGGCAATGATCCTGAACTGTGAACTGAACCACCTGAATCCCTTCCCCATCACCATTAAGAACATCATTAACTCAGAGGTTGGAAACTGGGACCTCATTGTTCTAGGAGATATGTTTTATGATGAACAGCTTGCTGATGGTCTGCACCACTGGCTGAGGAAGTGCATCAGGATACAGCAGACTGAGGTGCTGATCGGCGACCCTGGCAGGCATCAGTTTCTGAGCCACAGCATTCACAGTCAGTTGCACAAAGTTATAGAATATTCCCTTCCTGAGTATACTAGACAAGAAAACTATGGATTAACATCAAGTATCGTCTGGAGTTATCAGCCCTCAAATAGCTTAGAAGACTGTTGAGGCTTGGCTGTCTACGCAATTTTGTCTCACTGCGTTGGCTTTTTTTGCAAAAATGAAAATGGGAATTAAATAGGGAACATTACCTGAGATGTAAAGCAGATTACTGTACCTTCACTGAACTGATTTCAGTCATACTCACTGAGGCTTTTGCTCCATTTGAGGTGAAAGCTACATGCAAACTGCATTCAAAGGGGCCTGCCCTGAAGTGCAGACTCACAGACAAGTTATGTGTAAGAGTTTGCATGCTCAATGTTTTTTATGTGTATCTGTGTCTTGCTCTGTGACACTGCTGCGAAATGTTTTGGATGTCCAGCATACTGCTGTGGGGAAAGGGCCATGGCTGAAAGACTACTGCACTGCTTTCACAGACTTCTGCAGCTTGTTTACAGAGAAAATTATTGCTGTCCTTCAGAAAATTTTCCACTAGATTATTAGCTCATCATCTGCTCAACTTAAAGTGCCTTGCTCTTTTTTTCTGGGTATCTCTTCTGAATG